TGCTCAGTCACCCTCACAGTAAAAAAGTGTTTCCTTATGTTCAGACAGAGCCTCCTGTGTTCCAATTTGTGCCCATTGCCTCTGGTCCTGTCCCTGTACACCACTGAAAAGAGCCTGGCTCCATCCCATCTTCTTTATACGCTCCCTTCAGACATTTGTACACATTGATGAGATCCTCCCAAGCCTTCTCTTCTCCAAGCTGAACAGTCACAACTCAGACTCTCCTCACAGGAGAGATGCTCCAGCCCCTTTATAATTTTTGTGGCCCTTTGCTGGACTCTTCAGCAGCTCTTTATCTCCCTGGGACTGGGGTGCCAGAACTGGACATGCTACTCCAGGTGTGGCCTCACCAGTGCTGAGTAGAGGGGAAGGATCACCTCTCTGACCTGCTTGCAATACTTCATTTAACACAGCCCAGGATATCATTAGCCGCCTTTGCCACAAGGGCACATTGCTGCCTCATGGTCAGCTTGGTGTCCACCGGCCCCCCCAGGCCCTTTTCTGCTGAGCTGCTTTCCAGCTGGGCGGTCCCCAGCATAAATGCTGACTCCCTCCCACAGGAAAGTTGTTTTGTTGAAGCATTGTTCTTTGAAAGCCAAAGCTCCGTTCTCCTCCACCCCCAAGTACGTTGGGACTTTTTTTTGTGGAAAATTGCCAAAAGAATTCAGCTGAAATTTTGCTGGAGACAGTTGTCTCTTCATCAGGCAAAGAAATCAGATGGCATTTTAGGAGCTCAGAAATTAGCTTATGTTCTTGCAAAATGAGCAGATAACAGCTTGCTCAGTGCCATTCATACAGCTGTATGGAAGAATACTAAAAAAATAGTTTTCTGCCAAGCTGCTTTCCAGCTGGATGGTTCCCAGCATGGACTCATGCAAAGGGTTGCTCCTCCCCAGGTGCAGAACTTTACACTTCTCTCTGTTGAACTTTGTGAGGTTCCTGACATTTCTCCAGTCTGTCAAGGTCCCTCCGGATGGCAGCATGACCCTCTGGCATCGCAGCCACTCCTCCCAGTTTGGTGTCATCAGCAAACTTGCTGAGGGCACACTATGCCCCATCATCCAGATGAGTAATGAAGGTGTTAAAGAGGACTGGACCCAGTATTGACCCCTGGGGTACACCGCTAGTTACTACCCTTGAACTAGACTTGGTGCCACTGATTACCACCCTCTGCACCTGGCCATTCAGCCAGTTTTCAGTCCACCTCATTGCCTGCTTATCGATCCCATACATCAACAGTTTGTCTATGAAGGTTAGCTTGTCGATAAGAGTTAGGGCTGAGTGAAAGACAGCACCTAGAGGGGCCATCGAGTGGCGCTGGAACTGGGCAGCCAAAGGCAAGCTGGAGCAAAGAGATCCTGAGAAGTAGTTTTTGGTGTGGGCCAGAGGTGGAGGACTTAGGCCAAGCCTGAGCCAGCCCCACATTCCAGACCATTAATGAAGATGTTGAAAAGTACTGGACCCAGTGTTGACGTCTGGGCTCCACCACCAGTTAATGGCCTCCAGTTAGACTTTGTGCCATTTCGAAGGTACACTTCAAGATATGGCAGAACAGAATCTTATTCAACAGGGACATACATTCTGCTGTCCCCCTGAAAGACTACTCAAACTAGATTTGACAAAGTTAGTAGTGATGGGGAAGAAAAAAAAAAAAGCATTTGCAAGTAATTTCACTGGCTCTTTATCCCTTGAAGCATCCATCTGCACTACATTATCTTCCTGCTTGCCTCTGAATAGGAACTGTGTTGTAAGAGCTCTACGGCAGCCTTCTCACTGAGGCTACCTAAGTTATAGGAGAAAAGGTATTAGATCTGGGACCAGGAAAAAGCAAGAAAGGTGAGAGAAAAAAAAAAAGCGCCAACCACAAACCAGGAGGGAGAATAGGCTTTAGAAACCACAGGAAGGAAGTTTGAGAGACTACAATATAAACAGATGAGGCACTAGACTGACTGGTAAGGAGTTTTAGTGGAACACAAAGCTCGACTGATACATGGAACAGGGCAGAAACACAGATTTGAGAACATAGGCTGTTTGTCTAACAGTGTATCCACAATAGCTTATTATAATTCATTCCAAGACAAAGGTGACATTAAAACTGCACAGGAACATCACAATAATGACAGCAGATTAGTACAAAGCAGCTTCCTGAACAAAAATTTTATATCAATTTTCAATGTTGCTCAAAACCCTGCTACTAACCACCTACATACTTTTTGTGGTTTCCAGGTGTGGCCATCACAACTTCCTCAAAAATTGGCTGTAGGAGGCTAGAGTTTTCAGATTGTGCTTACATCCTTTGTGAACCAGGAATCAATTGCTATACTTTTAAACTGCATTTAAAAAAAAAAATCTCTAACAGATGCTTCATTCAAGAATTAGCACATGTGAATCAGACTGACCTAAGGTGCTAAGATAAAGCCAACTTCACAACTGATTTATTCAAAGGTCTGAAGGGATTACAGTGTGTATGAACCAAAAATCTACAAACCAGGGGAATCAACATTGATAAGAAAAATATTTGCCTTTCAGTTTAACAAGAAAAGAAGAATGGAGCACTAATGGGAAGAGAAGGCATAACAGATTCATTTTCTCCAGATGCTGACATACATATCTGAAGCATTATGTCATTAAATCACCATCATCTGGCTTCCTGAATGCAGTTTCAGCTTAACATGCATCAGAATGGTAGAAGAAATTATAGTTCCAAAATCCAGCACGTTATACTTCTATTTCCTATCTTCATGACCTGAAGTGGGATATATTTGAGCCCTGAATACTCTAAATTATTTGCGTACACTCTGTATTTCACAGGCATAAGCTTAGTTTTCAGTATTCATTTGATGGCTTAATTCCAAATCTATAGGGAAACAAGCTTGCAGGTTTGACATTAAAGATATATTGCTTTATTTTCAATATTCAATAATTTACTTCACTGATATGCTTTCACTTCTTTCTGTTTTCAGAAGAAAGGTTTGAATTCCGTGTGAACAATAACACACGGAATTATGTTTAAAAATGAAGAGACCACCACAATGAATAAATCATTTTCTGTGCTAAGATCTGCCTTATATTGTGACAGGAACTGTGTTTGTGCATGGCTGTAATGCAAAAGGAATCTAGTCCGTGACTAGAATTTTTACAGTTATACTACTAGAGAACAAAAATGGTATTATCGTTCCCCTAGTGTGTCTCTAGTCTCAATATAAGAGGCAGATAGATCAAAGAAGGCTATAAGAAATATTAAGACAATAAGAAATAGTTGACATGTGAGACACACCAGTATAGAGCTGCAACATGATGGTACAGTTAACTGACCAACACCTTGCTACAATCGCAAGGAAAAGCCCCATTTCTTCAGACTGTTTCTCTCATACTGGTGCTTATCTAACGTTACAGCAAGCTGAAGAGATCTAAGCAGCAAAGTGAACTTCCATTTCATCATTTTACTAAAGATATTTCTCTCTGTAGGAGGTCAGAAGAGAACCAGTAAGCATCCACACCAGAACTCAGCAGTCAGAAGTAGAGAGCACAGCTGTACTGACACAGTCCTAAGCCGAGCTAATGACAAACATTTTATCCTCAGACCATCAGCAAGCTCACCAAAAGCACCTGACTTAAAGGGCCACAAAGTCTAATAAGCCAAGGCAAAGATTTATAAATCCAAACATTTAACCTCAGGAGTTTATTAGAATCACTGATAGGAGGTAGTCCATGGTCATATGATGCAATATTTTATGAATTTTTAAAAACTGAAGTTCCATATGGTAACCAATGCTCATCCCATACCTAAATAACCAGAAGGGAGGATATGAAAACACATGGAGAAGAAAGAAAATGACAGTTTCTGTTTCTGCCACAGCTGCTGTTAATCTATTTGCAATCAAGCAAGGCTTGGTGGCTGTTTGCTTTGTTGGGGGTGCAGGCACAAATAGCTGATGGTGGGGAAAGGAAAGAGGTATAGACAAATTTTAAGCAAAACAATCAAAAGAAAATTATTTGGGTTTGGCTGTTTATACTCCTCTAGAAGACAACCCGAAAATTTGTTGTCAAGATGCATGCTGAGCATTTTGAGAATAATGTTAAGGTATTTAAGAAAAAGCAACGAACTAATTCTAAACTTTCATTAGAAAATAAGACTACTTATGTCCAGCAAACATTATCCTTATGGTTTTGAAGTTGCCTAGGTACTTTTTGTCATTTCTCCTCTAGAGTGTCTATTTTGGAAAATTAACCCAAGGAGCTGTTTGCAGCAGGTAGCAGCATCAGACATCTGACAACTCAGCTACTAAACATTCAAAGTTTTCTCAACAACGTGAAGATGTATGCTCTTCATCCCAGCTTGTTTTTCATCAAGGAGATTTATAGCTTGCTCCATCCCTCCTACTCTAGTTTCAAAAGGAAGTATGTATCGGAAATGTAATTCTTAAACTGAACAGCAATTTGTGCTCTCTTAGTACCTTACTGATGTCTTTCCTGTAAAGAAAATGAATTTATAATCAGGATTTGTACATACCTGGCTCATTAGACCACTGTCTCACTAGGATGTTCTGCCCACATTATATAAAGACAGCATTCGAAATGTTAAAAAAAAAATCCCATTACTTACTACAGTTAGTGAATTTATTTTAGAGATACTACTGCCTTTTAACAATAGTGAATACTCCCACATCTTTTCCACAGTTCTGATTTTTTTTTTTTTAACTAGTGAATGAGAAGAGGAACAGAAGAACTTCTTAGCTCAGTATATTTCCTTTTCAGCTAAGGCATTTTACCTGCTGACATGGCTATTAAGTATTTGTCAAGAACTTGAACACTTTGATAAATCCACAGAAACAAACAATAAAATTCACCCTTTAGAAGCACCATGGACAATCAGGAAAATCATGTAAGTAAATGCACAAGTTCCTTGAAAGGGCAGGGGTGGAAGGAGCATAGCACACACCAAAAGCACTTTTTCTACACAGAAATAGTCACATACAGGTGGAAAGAAGAAGCATCACCTTGGTCAGCAAATGAGAAGGCTTTCCTGCAATGTTTCTCAGAAGGAGGGAGGTTTCCCTGTCCAAATAGGAGTGCTTGTGTCGAAAGAAAGAGAAAGAACATAAGTCAAAAGAAGTCAGTATAGTAATTTTATAGTGTCTTGATTACAGAAGATAAAAGTAGAGTTTAAGGAAAAAACCCCTACATCAATGCTTCCTTTCCCTCCCATAAAAACGTGAACACCCCCAAATACTACGAGCCTAACACACTAGTACAAAAGCAGTTGTGCTTATACAGGACGCTATTTTAATCTTTCCCTGTACAAAACATCACATAATAGAATTAACAGAAGTTTTGCTTACCTGCTACTGGTTTCTTTTCTGCAAGAGACAACTTATTTTTAAAGACATTCAGAACTACAAAAGTACAAAAACATGCATTTACAATGCTTTTCAAAATCCTGTTCAGTCTCCTAAAACTGAACATTCTACTTCCATTACACAAACATAAAGCCATTAGAAACTGGTCATCCTGGAGACAAGCAACTGGTTTCATGCTTTCTACAGTGGCTGCTGCTTCCATAGTTAAAGTAAAAAGGATGTTACCATAATAATAATCCAAACCTGACTGACAATATTTTTTTTTAAAAAGGACTTCTCTCTTCTCTTCTACAGTCCAAATTACATAATCCAAGTCAGAAACAAATCCCCATATTTCTCTTGGAAATTAGCTGAAAATATATTTTAATGTGTTTAAAAAGGGGAAGCAAAATCAGTAGCAACAAGTAGAGAAGGACTTCTCAAAATGGAGAAATCAGTTAGTGACAATTAACAAAGTGATTATCTTCAGCATCTGCTACAAAGAAACAGCAAACCATCACCCTGTAGGAATTTGCAGAACCACAGTCACAAGTCTGCTACGGAAATTAGGTTACTACTGTGGCACTTAACAGGAGTATTAAGTCTAACTCCTGTGTACTGTCACTGTACTGCAAATTCTGCCCCAGATGCAGCCTTATTTGTGTCGACTGGTCCAATGGCGTAACAAGGCATGACAACTGAACAGCCTCCTACACTCATTTAATAAGCAGCACATAACCCCCACCTCTTCTTCATATCCAAAATAAGGCATAGTCTCCTGAAAAAAAAAAAATCTACAACTTCGTGCACAGCAGTATCAAATAGTTTGGTGAATATGGTTCCTGCAGGGGGAGTTTACTTGACATGACCGCCACATGCTGGGATGAGTAATTAAGGATCTCTAGCACGGTTTAAAAGTTACAGCTCAGAAGAGACTCTACACAGCATCTGAAGTAAAACCTAGGCTCCAGCCCAAGTTCCATCTGGTACTTAGCCACTAACATAGACAAAGGTTATGCTACAGACTTAATGAAGATTTTTCTGCCTGCAGATTAATCACCACCTGTGCCTACATTATATGTTTTAGAAGCACAGCAGTGCTGCCTAGTGACAAATTTTGCACACCTCAAGCACACACTGATAAGAGCTTTGTGATGCAGGACCCGGTATAATTAAAAATGCCTTGTGCGTTGGTTACAGTCATATAGAATTCTCAGATTAGACTTCTTGACATACATAATCATACCATTTGGGACTGACGAACTAATACATTCTATGTTTTCTACACACACAGGATTTCCAGCAACTTCAGTGATACTTAACAAAGGCTATCATTTAAAAAACAGCTCATTTACTCAGCCTGAGCAAGCCTGAGGCAACGATAACATTGCTGGTGAATAATACAGCTTTGCTTAACTTGAAGGCAGACTGATCCTCTTTTTATGATTTCTGCAAGGTGCATTTTTACCCTGAGTTTTTTCTTTTCCTACACAGAAGCTCTAACTTCACACAAAGTCAGTTTGGAATGGTCTCATTACAACATATTACTGCATAACTTCTGGAATAAATTGGTTGGCTCACTCCAAAGCGCAACAGTATATATAAAAATCCAAAGAAAAGTTCAAGGAAATTCTTTTAAAGAGTTTCTTGATAAAGTTCTTGTCAGACATCATGGACTCAAATTAACATGGATCGCTTTCTTGGTGAACGGAGCACTGCAGTAGAAAGAACATTACAATGTACATTTGTAGTCTCTTCCTTCGCATTTAGCCATCTTATTTCCTTAGCCTATCAGTCAACAACAGTGTCAGGATAAAGAAGCAATACTGAATCTCTCCCTAAAGGAAATACTATTTGCTAGAGAATTTTTCCCCTACAGAGAAGCACAAGGCAGACTGTTTAACCTTCTTCCTATCATTGGTCATTTTGGCTGTTGCCATCTTGCATTTAAGTACAGTGGAACTTTCCTGCAATAAGCAACTTTTATGCTATCCAGAAATAGGAATACCCTATACTTACAAAATAACAACCACTGGAGACTTTGCTAATACTACTTTCCAGACCTGCAGCAAAATATGAAGTATTTTTGATATAACCACAGGAAACTATTCTGGAAATCAAGAATGATGGTATTTCATGGGAACAGGTGTTGGCCAGTAAAATGTGAAACAGTGTGATGACATCTATGTGAATTTGAGCTGGAGATACATATCTAGAAACAGGAAAGCAGCAGTTCTTTGCCAGACACCTTTTGTCCATGGCCCCTTCTTACTGCATAACACATTCTTCAGTACCGCAGAGTTAGAACAAGCAGAAGTCACAAAGCAACAGGAAAGCCCAAGTTCTAGGAATTATAGCTTGGCTGAACAACAACAACGTTTTTAAAATATTTGACCTGCACAAACCATTAAGAGAAAGAAAAAAATTAAGTTTCATTTTAGAACAATTTGTTTCTCTTTCACAATCCACAGTTTTAAACCATTTATCTATTTCAAAGGGAAGACTTCAGCTCAAACATCGAGCTATGAGGTGAATAGATGTTGCCTTTTAACACAGGCTCCTAGGAATACTCCATTCATTGTTCAGGGGAAGATAAATATTTTGTGGGTTTTTTTTCTTAAGAAACTACAATCACATTGCATCACACAGAGGATCTAAATAGCCCACTCTTCCTCTCTACTTGTAGAGTTCAAATATATATCAAAGCTGTGACAATATAAATGCCTGATCTTTCCAAATAAATTAACCTACTTTTCTGGCCCAAGTACTTTCCTAGACTAAAGATAACACCAATGAAATGTAGGAAAATAGAAACAAAACATTATTCCTTGGTAGACATTTCTAGTCTTCCACCATGAAAAGCATCTGGCCTCCTTCCACATGCACCCATCACAATTGTGAGAACTCATGCCCTGCCAACAAAGAAGTCTCTCCCCTAGTGCATCATCTTAGGTTCATTTAGGTTCATTTAGGAAATATAAACAATTCCAATTACACAAAGTAGTATGTGTCGCCCTCCACCCCAATGCCATGCATTTTTCTATCCTGCTGCAGTAAGTTGACTGCTTCCACAGTACAAGGCCATCATTTCTCATAATGGTATTTGCAGTTTAATTTTTTTTTTAATTGTTGTGCAACATAATATTAAAATATCCTTAGAAGGTCAAAGTAGTTTGAAAGACCACTAAAGTGTCAAAATTTGACAAAAGCTTCAGGGAAGGCAAAACTGTGCAGTTCTTTATACTAAGCATGAAGTTACATACCAGCTAGGTTGTAACAGTGTTGGAAGACTATTTAATTGCTGCATTCACTAAAACACTCAGTGAAGCTTATTCAACACGAGCAACACCAAGTCAAAGACTTGATGCCTAATTCATTTATCAAATTCTCTGAAAGATCACGTATTTCTAGGCCAGCACTTAACTAAGGTGCAAACCCAAATAGTATATAACATGTGCACAGTCTAAAGCTAGCTATAATTCTTTACTTCTACTAGAAAGTTTTTTAAAGTTGTATTTTTTTTTTACGTATAGGACAGCTTTCTCAAAATCCAGCCATCAGTTACAGCCATACCTTTTCATAAGTTTTTGCAGAAAACTACTAATGCAAATTCAGGGCAAATGAAAAAAGCTTCCCAAAGTTATCTCCATTATATGTAGAAAAAAAAATAAATCACTTAATAGGCATTAGCAGCTGTTAAAATTTTCTGGTGAGAGGGGATCTACAAAACCACTGTCAAGAAAATAATTTTAAAACCAATGCTTACACTTTGATGTTTTAAATGGTGAATACAAAGCCAGACTCCACTTAGGATTCGCAGTTAATCTAACACCACCACTGCTCAGGCGGAACTCAAAATACCATAGCCTGGTGAGCACCCACAGAAGAAAATGTGATAGGGCTTTAAGAGGATTCTTAAGAGGCAGTAAGAAATGTTTCTCCTTCACATATCATCAAATCATGTAATTTGCTCTTCCACAGAAACAGGTTAAGTGAAGAATCTGTCAATACAAACTGTGCTACAAGACTTTACAACAGTAACCCTGGACAGGCCATAACACTAGCCATGCTGGAGACAACCTTACTAACTTTGTTTCTTTATAATCTTCAGAAGATTTTCCTAAGAAAAAGCAAACCAATTTTTTTCTTTCTTTCTTTTTTTTTTTTTTTAAACACAATACATAAAAAGCTATGAAATTATGTTCTAGTGCTTCCTCATAATACGGAGCAGACTTTGAACTATGTCTCAGAAACTCAGTTTACTTCAAAAGACCTGTATAGAGAAAAAACAGTGAAAAGAAAACTATCCAAAACATTGGAAAATTATGGTTTTAACTCATTTTATACAAGTATAAGCAAACATTGCAATGGTGATTGTTTTGGACTGTTTTCTACCGTAATTCCCAGCAGCAGTTATTCCAAGTAACACTGAAAACTATGGATGTTGAAAATACTAATTAAAAAAAATCCTCAAAATACTAGAAAAGATATGCTGATCAAAACATTAACATTCTATAAAACAAAATGTATACTATTCTCAAAGGATGACAAAACAGCTGTGCACAAAAGTATAAAGTACAGAAACATTTTTACACTAAAAAATGGGGTATCATGATCAAAATATCAGACCTAACAAAAAAAGAATATAAATAAGCCTACTAATGCCTCCATAATGAACTTTAGCTAGTATGGACAATCACAATACAGAAAACTAGATTTGAGTAAAATTAACATTAACATTTAGATGTTCCAGATGCTATTAGAACAAAAAATTATAAATCGTTTTCATGTGTAGTTCATTCAGCAAAGACAGCTAGCCTTGATGTTTATAAAAACATGGAATATAGTCTTGTTCAAAATTACATTTTGGACTTCAAAGATTTCCTATATCCTTTCTTTGAAGACAGCAACGTAACATCCATCATTTTCAGCCCTAAATAGCAGAAGTTCATGGATCAGCTGTTGAATACTGCATTTCACAGTGTTTTCGGAGAACTTGACACAATACTCTTCTTAAATACAAAGTAGCTGCTTACGCCTGATTTTTTTTTTTTCAATGCTGATACATTTTTATACCCATCACCAACCCTACATCTACAAATTATATTGGCTAGGCATGAAAGAACAGATGGACTACCAGGAAAGTGAAAATACCTTTCAGATTTTCAAAATATAATTGGTTGCACTATACTAAATGACAAATAATCCTCTACAGGGCCAAAAGCTCGAGATTTTCTTGTCTATTATCCTTGTCAGTTCCTTAATGAAAGAAGTGGTGACAAGCTAAGCCGTCTAGCTGGATTCTGAAGGATACAGGCTGTATAGACCGTCTTGCAACTGTAGCAGGCCATCAGTTCACAGGTAACACGCTGTACACATTACCTCATTTCTTCAATTCTACTTGCACATTTTGCAAAACTTTGACAATCACATTCATATAGAACACCAATCCATTTTCTTGTTACACGCCTGATTATCACTTAGTACAGAAGTACGTGGGACAAATTTAGAAAGATTCTATCTCATCACTAAGAGACAGAGTTGTATAATTCTCTAATTTTAAGGTAAGGGCTCAGAATACATACATGCAGGGTTTAAAACCAGTACAATACAGTATGAAAGGTGTCAAATATGTTCTTTACACCGTAAATTTACAAAAACTGGATGGGAAGTGTAAGAAAAAGATGACCTGGCAATCTTCTAAGGTATTTTACCTTATTGTTCTAATGCCTTAAATATGTTAAATAGAAAAACTCCTTTCTGGTTAAATACTATCAAGGTATGTACAACAGAATAACTTACCACACTATATTAAAAAAAAAAAAAAAAAAAAAAGACAATTACAAGAAACAAAGGACTTGTATACATAAATATCTTGCCATATTTCTTACAAAACTCTTTAACAATTTAACATAAACATCTAATTAAACCAGCTGGTGGCACTCTTGTGCCACTACTCTGGATTTAATATGACAGTTGAGAAACACTACAAAAATCTTTTTTAAAAGTCTCCTCCTGTCCCTAAAATGAAGGGAAACTGAGCAAGCAGTGTCCAATGGAGAGCTATATGCTTGCAAAACTCTGTTGAAAAGATAACTACTATAGCTTTCATTTCAACTACAACAGTACACTGAATTCTTTAGTCTCCAGCTTAAAGAATTAGACTCCACTATTTTCAAAAGACAGCTCAAGAATTAAAAACAGTTTAAGCATATTTTTTGTAATTTTGTCCCAAAGGGGGACAAAGATGGTAAAAGAGAACTGAAATTTTTCTTTGCAAACTCTTGAGATTATGCATTCATATGGAATGCATAAGAGCACACAACAGAAAATGATTAACATCTAATTTTAAAAAACCCTTTTCTGCTTTATTTTGCAATGGGGGTTGTTTAGCCTGGAGAAAAGGAGGCTGAGGGGAGACCTTATCATCCTCTACAGTTACGTGAAAGGAGGTTGTACGGAGGTGAGTGTCAGTCTCTTCTCCCAAATAACAAGCAATAGGGCAAGAGGAGATGGCCTCAAGTTGCACCAGGGGAGGTTTAGATTGGACATTAGGAAAAATTTCTTCACTGAAAGGGTTGTCAAGCAATGGAACAGGCTGCCCAGGGAAGTGGTAGAGTCACCGTCCCTGAAGGTATTTAAAAGACATGTAGATGTGGCAGCTGGGGACATGGTATAGGCGTGAACTTGACAGTGCTAGATAACGGTTGGACTCTATCACCTTAAAGGTCTTTTCCAGTTTAAATGATTCTACGATTCTATGACTGCTAAGAGCAATCGTGCTTCAGGAAAAAAAAAAAACAAACCAAAAAAAACAAACAAAAAACCAAACAAAAAAACCCACACAAAACCAACAACAACACAAAGAGAAAATCCCTCCCAAACTTACGTGTATTTTAAGTAGCCTTGTGCAATTAATAACTAGAAAATAGGCAATGATCAATTTAAAGACAACTAAAAAGCTTGACTGTAGCGATATACATTTTTACCTTACTGCACTGATGGGATACTAAGGAATTCAAGTCACTAATGTGATTTTTCCGTTGCAGGCAAATTGACACAACTACTGACATAAAGAGAAGCCATATAAACATGTCATAATAACTTACAGGAGTCAATTCAGCTTCCTCTTCTGGAAAGTTAATGGGATGCTTGGACTGATTGATGAATGTCCCATGGAAACAGTAAAAATGTAGGAAAATGGGGAGGGAAGGATGCAAAAGGGGAAGAAGGGAATGGAAGGGAGGGAGGAAGGGAGGAGAAAGAAAGGCTTTATTATCGCTCAGAAGAGGCAAGAAAGCAGTAGCGATGACAACTAACTTAAGCAAAGGCAACAAAACTAGATTAAAAGGTTACAGTGACCCTCATCCAAAATTTCTTACAGACAAATGATCAATGACTTGAAGACAAGAGGAGATTCAGGCTCTCTCCTACAGGAAGGGAGAAGGACATAGGGTACGAGTATGTTTTCAACGACAGTAAGAGGGCAAACAGTCAATAGTCAGATAAAAGCACTGCAGTAAACCATTTGGAAGCACACAATACACTTTTTCTGCCTTTGTTGAAACAAATCAGAAAATAAACCATTCTCTTTGCACAACCACTTGCTAAGCCAACAACTGTGAGTTAAATTCTCTAAACACTAGAAACAGAAAAACACATACTGTCACTTTACACAAGCTTATCTGCTTCCCATGTCAGTTCCTCCATACCACTTGTCACCAGAGGATATTAAGTACACATAAGAAGAAAATCTAGAGATTTATCTTACTTCCAGTCATACTATTTTAGATCTGAGCACCCTCATACTGTAATTAATTTAAAAAGAAATGAAAAGGAAGTATTTCTGTATTTCCATAATCTTCACTAAGGAAAGGCAAAACCAAATCAAAAGAAAAAACACACCACACATTTGTGGCTCAGTACAAAGTGTTCATTGGTAGTGACAAGCTTCTTAGTATGAAATTGTTAAGGGATCAAAAATTTAATATTATGCTACTAAAAAGCAGAGTGCCTAAGATTTCCAGTGTTTCACCCAATACTTGCTCCTTTTCCTTCAAAGGTGCAGAAATATTTGTTTCAGGCATGTTAATTTTGGTAACCGAATTACATAGTTAAGGTTTAACAGATGCAAAAGGCGTTACAGTTTATTCTTACCAAAACCTCAGAAAAGCAAAATAAGACACTTAGAGACTGATGCAGCAGCATTAGAAAACAGAGCTGCCCGATACTTCCATGTTCAAGATGTGTTTGCAGTTGCTTATAAAAATTTTGCCAAGGTATAACCACTAAGACACAAATTTTCCATGATGGGTTACTGTTATAGGATGATTACCTGTCATATACATTAAATGAAGTATTTCCAAGTGAGGAAAGGAATGTATATCTCATTTAAAATACAGATGTTTTTAAAGACCTCTGCAGTTCTGATCATGAAATAGATTACTGGCAGGGGCATCCTCAAAGACTTGCTTTGCACTGTCCCATGGGATGTTACCCAAATTTGTCTGAGCATAAGCCTTTAGAATTAAAATAGTAGTCCACGAAGTCTAAGTCTGCAGCATCACAATCAAAAAAACCACCTCAAGGCTGCATCCTCTCACAGAGCACCGCCCAGCCCTTCAACTGGACTGCACACTACTAACGTTGAACAAAAGATTGGCCAAGTTTGAGAATGCTTGGGTCCATGGTGGGAGCGTACAGCAGCCGCCTTTAGATTGCAATGCCTGGCTGCTGCAGAGCATATTGGAGCCAGACACGGAAAGTGAGAATCTGGAGTTATTACACAAGTGGCCAACTCTTGTCCTGGAACTCATGCAACTCCATTTCACTGCAGGCAACTGGAATTTCCTAACTCTTAAGTGTTTAACTTTGCAACTTTAGAGAAAAAAAAAAAAACACCACCAAAGACACCC